ATGAAGCAATTTGAGCACAGTAAAACCTGATAAATGAAGAGAACTCAAACCAACCGAGTACTGTAAAACCCAATAAGGCAACTCAAATCATTTGAGGAAACCGATTGCAACAAACCATTTGAGTAAAAAAAAAAAATCTATACGAGTACTGTGAACTTACTCCATTTAAGCAACCCATTACCTTCAACATGGAGTTCAAAACTCTTTTCAAATGAGTAGAATTAACTTTCAGTCAATTTTGAGTTAACTACACTCATTTGGTAAAGTTGACTGTTTTATAGTAGCTCTATTTTTATATCTCAAATCTATTTTTAAAGTGCAGTTCTTCAAAATATTTTTATTAAACTAATGAATACTTCAGATTTCTATCCGCTTATATTATAAGGTTGTAAATGTATTTTATTGACCCTGAAATACATGTTAAAATACCTTCAGAAATATATTTTAAATACATGAAGGCTGAAACGAATTAATCAATTATATATTTTAATGAGCCTCACTTTTACAAAATATATTTAATCCAGAGGAAAAAAAACATTACCATATAGGATAGCTGGCTATTTTGACGAACCAATTTCCCCCTAATTAATGTATCCTTTCCCTATTGACTAAAGCCAACAATTATGATGTTCATTAAAAATGAAGGGAAGCTCGACTGTCGATCAAACACAGAAAGGGATTGTTTGAAAGGGCCCTTTATTTGTTGCTTTGACAGCTCAATCACCCATCTAATCTAACCGGGGGGAGGTAAAAAAAACGCTGACAATGACCGTCAGGGGCTACAGACAGCCCTTCATTTGAGTGCTAATTAGAAAAATTATATCTCTGAAAGGCAGCCTGGTATCTGTTCCCAGCGTGTTGAAGAGAGACAAGCTGAAGAGACGACAATGAGTTAATAGAAAAATTAATTATTTACACTATTATCTAGGCCATGCCATTGAAAGAACGACTCAGTAAAGCTTTAATTGTGCCGCTGATTACATTTCCACATCGAGATGGACTCAAAAGCATATCGCCCGCTGATGTTCATTAAGTGGATGCGCTCTCATCTGATGTTTTTCTCTTAATATAGCGTAGTGTTGGGGGTGAAAGGTTAAAGACCAAAGGGCTACATTCTGCTATTCTATAGGTACAAGTTTATCATGGTTGTTTTTACCCTCACAAATATACCATGCAAAAACTTTAAGGTAATGAGAGCATTTTTAGTTTTACAAAGCAAAGAAAGAGTACAAACATAACTATTTTAGGTTTCGTCAGTTAGGTGGCTATTTCGTACGAATTCATAAGAGTTCAATGGGGTATATGCCCACAGACTTTTAATTTCAGTCAGCCAGCCCCAGGGCTTCTGGTCGATCATCATCATATACAAAATTGTCACGTTTAAGATCTGATTTATTTATAAACAGCAATCATCACTGCCTCATTGAGATACGATATAAAGTGGGTATCAGACCAAAGAAGAAGCACTGCATTAAATGATATTTTCCATGTCATGTCATTAAAATATGGAAGTTTATTTTACCCCAGTATTTTCAATGGAGTTTCTGCTGATGATAGCACCTGCATTTAAACAGTCTTTCATCTCTTTTTACGCTTTAACAGCCAAATTGATGTTTAAGTCTATTTAACTGATTATATGTGAATTACATTACAACATCGATGCTGTAAAAGGAACCTTATGAAATTGAAAATAGTCACACTTTCACCAGAAGTTCATTGGACGAAAATGTACAATTTTAAAAAGGAGGCATGGCACCCAACCCCACCCTTAAACCCAACCACCATTGGTGCATTAGCAAATTGTACGAATTCATATGAAAACATTAAAATCTCGTACAAGTGTAATAATATAATACAGATAATAATAGTTATTTGCAATAATTTATCTATGAAAAAGCGCATAAAAAGGTTAGAGTGCCGTATCCTTTAAAAGGTTGTCATAATGCAGTAAAATCTTTGCAGTTTTCCTCTAGTCTAGGAGAGTAAACAAGCAAGTAAAATTTAGCAAGGTCTTTTTTGCTTAAGAATAAAGAATTTTGCATTCAGTATAAGAAAAAAAATGGATTCAAAAGGTAAAGGCTTAGGATTTTAATAAAAGCAAATAAAATCTTTGAAGATAAGTATAGGGTCCAATTTGTAAATTTAAGGTTGATTCAACCCAAAATGTGTTTGCTTCACCACATTTAAAAAAGAACAACAACAAAAACAAAACAAATGAAGAGCTGTTTCCTGTACAAAGCAATAAAATGAGCAAGTCACATCATCATAAGCACACTTAAAAATGGATAAACGTTATATCGTTTCAGCATCGAAATCAAAATGTACAATGGTAAGTCTGCATTAGGCTTTTTTTTTATTTTAACGCTGTACAATATATATATACACACACACACACGTATGAACATATATACATACATAAACATAGCTACTTGTTTAAACTGCTTATTTAAAATGAGCTAAAATAACACAATTCTTGAGATTTTATAGGACAACTTAATTGTTTTATGTTCACTTACACTAAAATTAGTAAAAGTAATCGAGTTACCTAAATTATTTTTTGTTGGGGCAACCCAGCATTTTTTATAGTGTTTTAGAATTCATACAAATGATAAGAAAAAAATGTTTTGTAAAATGATAGCTCAACCAAAAATTAAATATTCTTTCATTATTTGCTCTTCCTCCACTTGTTCCAAACCTGTATGAGTTTCTTTCTGCTGAGGTAGAAAGATATACTGCAGAATGTAAAAAAAAGATAAGAAAATGATTGATTAATTATTGAAACTATTTTATTTTACGCTAATATATTATAAATCATAATGATTGCTTTTCCACCAAACATTTGTCAGAATTTGTTTTTTTGTGTGTTCAACAAAGAAATTCATGAAAGTTCACAACCACTTGAGTGATTTTGAGGAAATGTTACATTTTGGGTGAACTATCCCTTTAACCACAACATAATCTTATGATATCTGAAGAATCATGTGACTCAGAAAACTGGAGTAATGAAGCTAAAAAAAAACTTTTTCATCACAGGAATAAATGACATTTTTAAATATTTTAATCAGTTTGTGCTATCAAAATTACAAAGATAAAAGAACAACAAGGAAACAAAAGCTAAACAAATCAAAGTCTTTTTATTGTGGCTGACATGGTAAAAAAAAATCAACCCGTTTTCAGGTCTACCTCAGCACAGTCAGCAGAAAAGAGAAAACTCCCAAGAGTCTCATTCATTTAAAATGAGAAACACACATACAGGCTCACATGGTGGCACTGTGAAATAAAAGAAAACAACATACCAATATCAACTTCCTATGTACAAGCTACTCTACTTTTCATATACAGTACAGATTGAGTTTGATAGTCTAAAAACATCTGAAAGAACCTGCAAATCCTCAAAATGGTTTTCTAAAGTACAGAGTGAAAATTAATGACAAAGAGTGACTGTTCTACTCATCATGTGTCTCTGAGCTATTTTAGGGTCAAATGTGCAACCCAGCACCCATTTCATGCACAAATGTGTAGTCAGTAAAAGAACATGTACCTATACAAACACTGTAATTGTATAATGACTTTAGCAGATGCATTTTCATTTTCAAAAAGACATTAGTTCCTCCCTTGTATACCATCAAAAATTTCATATGCTTAGCTATTTCCATTTTCATAATGACAGTCTATGCACAACTACATATGAATGCTTCTCATTGTAAAAATTCACATGCCGAGACGTCAAGTCATATTTACACTTGCTGTGACCATGACAGCTTTGTATCATATAGGAAAAAAGGCACAGTCTTGATGAATTAATTTACAGTCTTCAATTAAACTCTATAATCTCTGAATGATAAAAGCAGCAAACTAATGGTACCAGGCTTTGAAATTAGGTATGTTTATGTTAAGTATGTAAAAAAAACAACATGATAAATCAGTCTTAAAATATATAAAAATAAATGTAAAGGAAATAAATTGCTGCTTAACGAGAACTAATAACAGACAGGCATGCAGATGTGTGTGTGTGTGTGTGTGTTTGATTTTTTTTTTTTGAAAACAAACATTTTGTTTTATACATTTTTTGTAATCATCCCATATTTAAATGTTTTGGTCCAACAGCAGCTGTAATGACCAGTATTTACATACATAAACTCTTAGATAAAAATATATTTTCTGAAATCGATGAAACAAAAAATGCAGATAGAAGGTTAATGTAGAATTCTTTTAAAACCAAACAATCTAACATTACAAAAGATAAGACACAATTATAATGTAAAATATTTACACTACCTGACAGAAATCTTGTCGTCGATCCCAGTTGTAAGAGCTACTACAAATATTAACTTGACTTATAGTTGATCATTTAAAAAAAGTAGCAGAGGGTAGATTTTTCAGATGTATTGTTTACCTTCTGATACTTTCAAATACTGCAGATCACCTATTGGAATCTGCAAGGACCCAAGATTCTCACAGAAATCAGTCAAGTTTGGTGAAGGTAAAATCATGGTTTGGGGTTACATTCAGTATGGGGGTGTGCGAGAGATCTGCAGAGTGGATGGCAACATCAACAGCCTGAGGTATCAAGACATTTGTGCTGCCCATTACATTACAAACCACAGAAGAGGGTAAATTCTTCAGCAGGATAGCGCTCCTCATACTTCAGCCTCTACATCAAAGTTCCTGAAAGCAAAGAAACTGCTCCAGGACTGGCCAGCCCAGTCACCAGACATGAACATTAATGAGCATGTCTGGGGTAAGACAAAGGAGAAGGCATTGAAGATAAATCAGAAGAATCTTGATGCTTTTTTGCCATTCCAGATGACTTTATTAATAAGTTGAGTCATCGCAGAGATGTATGGATGCAGTCCTCCAAGCTCAGTCGTACAAAATATGAAATTCTTTTTCCACTGCAGCATGACTTTATATTCTATTCTGAACATTATTTCTGTTAACTGACAAGACTTTTGTCTAAGCAAAGTCAGACCTTACTGTCCTAATTAAATCATTAAAAATCAAGACATGATCATTTTATTTTGGTAAAATAAGCGTAATCTAGAGGTCTTTGCCTTTCATATAAGCCACTTCTGATACCAATTGATCAACTAGAAGTCAGGTTATTATTTGTTTTTCCTAAAAATTAGATCAGTGACAAGACTTTTGTCAGATAGTGGACATCCAAATCGGTGTAACCGAGAAACAACTTTTAAAAGAAATAAAACATTTTACTATATAAAAAAAACTACCTTCTCAATTTGCTAAAGTTCAAGAATGTTTAGTAGTCATCCATACACTTTCATCACTTTAAAAACAAGAAATACAAACTTGTAAATCTGCATCATTTACTCAAAGAACACTCATTAAATAAGGCTAAAAAAAAAAAAAACAAACCTGTGAAATGTGGCAGCACCAACACCTGTATAAACCTACTGCGATGGAAAACGACATGATCAAGTCACTTTTAAAGGTCATCCGAGAGGCTTTGAACTCTTCTTCAAATGATATGCATTGGAGAATAAAGCCCATAAAAGCTATTTGGCCCCAGGACTCTTCCCTGTGGCACGCACTAGTTTTACACATTCACATCCAGATGGAGAACATGCGTCTTTTAAAGAAACAAAACAAAGTGTCCTCTCTCCAGTGTTTCTGACAACAGCGTACAGAGTTATCAGTTAGATTTAGGGTAGATTTTCTCATAGAAAAAGTTCTGTGTCAGAAGGTACAGTTCTCCATCTTTTTCTCTCACCGCATGAGCCCGAACGTACTGGAACTGCTCGAGTGCAAACTCATAAAACTCGTTCTCCATTTTCCAGATGTTGGACTGCTGCAGTCTGGCTATAGACTCTTTGGTGGGAGGCTTCTTCTCACTCGTTTTCCTTAGGTGGGATCTCTTTCCTACAAAGGTAATAGGTAAAAACATTTTTGAAAAATAATCATTTGAGAACTTGCATTACATCTACTGTATTTTCTAAAAAATAAAAAATAAAAAATAAAAACGTTGAAAAACACACGGATAAGTCGCACTGTGGTTTAATGTTGTGTTCACACTGAGCAGGTTCCGTGTGATTGTTTTAGTGAAAGCTGTTCACACCATAGATGATAACTCTCAAGTGATTTGGGTTTTAGAAAAGCTTGTTATAAATAAAATATTTTTATTATTATTATTACTATAAAGATAATGATAAAGACATTGTTCTAAAAACTATTCTGAATGTAAATGGACAGCAGAGTTCAGACCACTGCTAAAACTGTCACAATGTAGAGAAACAAAATTGTTGGAATCATTTTGATTGTTTTTTTTTCCAGGTAAAAAAAACAATAAAACACTGAAAGCCAGTCAGAATCCACTAAAATATAAAGTTGCACAGTTTAAAGCTACAGAGGACACTGTAGAGAAGCAAATTGTTTGATGTTAGACACTCTTTTTTAAAGTTTATTTAAAGAATCTATATATATATAATAGGGATGGGAAGATTAACCGATATGTATCGATACGCGGTCATGCGCGTGCACGATGCGAGTGCATCGGTAGAGCAGCAGAGGATGAATGAAATTTTGGAAGCAAATCGAGATGCATCGGTTTTTGCGAGATGCATCGGTTTTTCCAAGATACAGCTTATATTTTTAATATAGAATGTATTTTTTATTTATTAACAAGTGTTGTCAACCTGTTTTTGGCGCATAATTTAATCGACCTACTTAAAGTAAGCCTAACGGATTTGCGGATGTGTACACTTACACTACAACTGTATCAGGTGTGCGGATGAAGCTAGTGGAGCGCCCTCAGAAAGCGCGAGAAGCAAAACAAACATTTTATTCCCCACTGAGTTTTAAATCTAAAGTATGGCAAGCAACATTATGGATTTAAGAATGGACGACATGACAGGACAGATGCAATTTGCAAAAGTGTGCCGCGCATCTGTAAAATACACGGGCAGTACGACTAATCTGAAATCTCACTTGAAGCGGCGCCACTGTGTTGTTGTGAAAGCTCCATCTTCCAGTGGACCTCTATTCTGCCGCCCTATGCGCGGATATAACTGAGGACGCGCGTGTGTCGCGGACCTCTATTCTTCCGCCCTATGCGCGGATATAACTGAGGACGCGCCGGAGTCGCGGACCTCTGTTTTGCCGCCCTATGCGCGGATATAACTGAGGACGCGCGTGTGTCGCGGACCTCTATTCTTCCGCCCTATGCGCGGATATAACTGAGGACGTGGGTGTCGCGGACCTCTATTCTGCCACCCTATGCGCGGATATAACTGAGGACAAGCGGGCGCTGATGGAGGTGTCGCGGACATAACTGAGGATGCGGGTGGTAAGGGGGGGTGTTGCGGACGCCGCCCTCTCTATACTGCCGCCCTAGTCGGCCGCCTAGGTCGCCTCTATGGACGTGCCGGCCCTGTTCATCTGCAAAGATATTCAGCCTAGTGTCACGGAGAACGAAGGTTTTGAACACCTCCTTCTGTTAATTTTTATTTAATTATAATAATAATATTAATAATAATAATGATAAAAATAATGGGCGTCACGGTGGCACAGTGGGTAGTTTGACCACCTCACAGCAAGAAGATTGCTGGTTTGTTATATTTTTATTAGCCTGTTGTTTACAGTGAAAGTGATGTTTCAAAGCAGCATAACACTGCTAGTTCACCACCTTAAGTTTTGAATAATCAGTGGCAAAATATATCTTTGTAAAACTTGTTTTCATAGTTGAAAAGTTAAATCACAATTCTTGTTGTGCAATGCTCAACCTTTATGTTGAAAGAGTGCAAATATATATATTTTAATATATATTGCACTTATACATTCTGTTTATCTTGAAAATACTTAAATAATATGTGCTAAATGTTCTAAAATGGCCCTCTACTGTAAACTGACACTCGGGCTCTGAGAGAAAAGCCAGTTTGTAAAAAAAGTCTTGGTTTTGCTTGGTTAATAAATAATCAATCAAACTCATTCAATGGCACAGCATCCTCTTTCACATCATCTCATAAACTTGATCTAATTAGTTAGTGCTGAATTATCGCATCGTATCGTGATATGGGTGTAAATCGTATCGTGTCGCATCGCAATATGTCACAAATGTATCGCTAATATATCGGATCGTATTCTTTGTATCGAGATGCGTATCGGATCGGCATTATAGCTTAGATGCCCAACCCTAATATATAAGTTTTGTAAAAAAATTAAATGGTTTTGAAAATGCTAAAAATGACATGGAAGCCAGGATACCAGATTGAAGGGATGCACCAAATTTTCAGCTGTTATAAATATTATATATATTCAGCTGAAATATATAAATATGATCCAAAGAGAGAGAGAGAGAGAGAGAGAGAGAGAGAGAGAGAGAGAGAGAGAGAGAGAGAAAGGACTATGGTAGTGCAGATTTCACAAATAATTTTGACCATTGTATATTTTCTGTCCAATTTTACATTAAGGTCAATAAAATGTGGTGTGTTTTATACTATTTTAAAAAGTAAAAAGAGTTACAAAATTATGTTCTAACACTTCATAAAATAGCAAACAATTGTTATTAAGTATTTACGGCACTGGTTTTGTTTTTTTTTCGGCAAAGAGTATCAACAAATTTCTGTTATGGTCTTGACCCAGAATTTTAATTTCAGTCTCTAATAATTGAAATATTTATGCAATACACTAGCAAAAACATCAGAAACACAACGGAAATGTTTTAAGTGGACCCAAAAATGTGACGAACGCCACTGTGCTGTGACAATTGCTCATTGAAGATGTAGGTGATCTTTGAAAGATGATTTGTTTTGTTTATTTATTTTAATATGCTGATTCCCTCGTCTTTCGTATTTTATTAGCCTCAAAAACCATAACCTAAATAGCCGGGTTCGTCACGTTTTAGGGTCCTTTTGAAACATTTCTGTGGTGTTTTGTTCTATTTGAAAGTGTAAGAAAATGCTGCGCGTTTTCGTAAATTGTTTGCGTTGTGAGAAATTTGCTGGTATTTTTTGTAATTGCATGCTTTTTCTTAAATTGCAGTTTGTTAAGCTCTCTTAGCCACTGTAAATATAGCACCTCGGGTATAACGTCAGGTATTGCACTGCGAGTTTATGCAAATGCTAAATTCACAGTTAGGTTAGACAGATTAACAGACAAAGATGTAACAAAGGAGACATCCAAAACATGCAGTACTGGTGGCCCTTCGGGAACGTGGTTGAGAAACACTAACCTAATCAATTTTGATGTTCTAAAATATTTGTTAAATGGGTTTAAATGTAGAAATGGTAAAACCAAAATAGACAAGATGTAATTATGTATCTATTTAGCCCATAGGTCTCAAACTCAATTCTTGGAAGGCCGCAGCTCTGCAGAGTTTTGCTCTAACACTAATCAAACACAGCTGATCCAACTAATGAAGGAGTTCATGACACTTTTGAACACATCGGTTATTTGGATCAGCTGTGTTTGATTAGGATTGGAGCAAAACTGTGCAGAGCTGCGGCCCTCCAGGAATTGAGTTTGAGGCCCATGATTTACCCTATAAAGCATATTTAATTATTATTCATGGCAATTGGATTTTACTTCTTCAACATTTAGGGGCCGTTCACACAGAATGTGTTTTTCATTTCCAATGCACTACTTTTCTATTGTTTTTTTAAAATGAAAACATGCATGATGGAAGTGTGGGACTGTTATGTTCTCATCTTTTGAAGTGCCACATTTCTAGACACTGTGTTAAGTTAAAAGAAGCTTCAACTGATCAAAATATAGGCTGCTCATTACTGTCAGTTCCAAAGCAGTGGACCAATCAGAAAAACGTTTCCGTTTACAGGCAAAAAGTGGCTGGAAACCCTCATGTTTTATGCTGAAACTTTTTTTCTCTTGTATTTTTATAAGGAAAAATGTGTTTGGTGCAAATGAGCCCTTTCTCAGTATTTTCAATTTAAGTAATTGTAAACATATGTAGTTTTGATGCAAAAACCTCACTTTTATGGCAAAGAATAGATTATTTTTATCACTTCTAACATGAAATAACTGAACATAAACATAAAGGCTGAGAAAAATGCTAATTTCAGAAGAAAATTCCAGATGGCACTTAGAGGTTTTTGCATCTGAACTCTTCATATTCTGTGCAAATGCATGTATGATGCAAACATAATCTTCCTATGGACATAAATAAATATACACTCAATACTTATAGACTGAAAACAGAAGAAAATGAGAAAATATAGTATTAAAATGTAATTCACATAGTCTATGCATTCATACCCGTCTTATAGAGTTCTGTGGCCCCTTTAAAGAAGCGAGGAAGAGCCGCTTCCAGCATCATAACGAAGTCCTCCAGCTCCTCCGTCACTCCAACTAACATGTATTCATTCACCAGGTTGTATTTCGCCTGCTCCAGAGCCCACCGGCTGCCAATGTTCCTGTGAAACAATTCATGAGAAAGTGAAACAACAGTACTGAAAATGCTGGATCTGAAACATCTGCATCAAAAGAGCCTACCAGCACTCAGAGTAATGACCACAGAAGAATGGAATCTGAAGCCACAGTTTCTCAGGAGCACAGTCGGAGCCTCCAGCAGAGACACACTCATCAAATGTCTGAAACATACACAGCATACACATGTTGAAATAGTCTGATATGAATATGGGATAAACATTTACAAAGTCAAACTTGATTGACAGCAAAAAATAGTGGCACAAACCAAGGTTACAGTAATATGTTTTAGTAAATAGGGATCATTTTAGGATGATTTAAAAGCCCAAATCTGAATGCAAATATTTATTTTGAATAAAATGGTTTTAAATCATATTTAAACTAATTATGTTAATAATTGTTTTAAAATTAGAGTATTATTAGAACATTTTATATAATAACATGTACAACAAGGAAAATAAGTATTGAATATGTCACTTTTTCTCAGAAAACATATTTCTAAAGGTGCTGTTGACTTTGAAGTTTCACCAGATGTTGATAATAACCAAGGAAACCAATATATGCAAAGAAACAATATTTATTCCTTTATAAAATAAGTCATGCGTTATAAAATGAAATGATACAGGGAAAAAGTATTGAACACATGAAGAGAGGGAGGTTTAGAAAAGCAGTGAAAGCCCAGATAGCAGCTGAAATCTCTCAGTAGTTATTTAGCAACCCTCTGCTGTTCGCCATTGTAAATGAACATTAGCTTCTTCAGTCTAACATCTACATTAGCAGGATGATGAAGATGAAACTAGAGTGGACAATGATCCAAAACACAGCCAAGGAAACTATCAAATCCTTTTAGGGAAAAAAACCAAGCTGTAGAATGGCCCAGCCAATCACCTGTATTAAATCCAATAAAGAAAAAATAAATTAAAGGTCAGATTTGATAGACGAGACCCAAAGAACCATCAAGATTTTTAAACTCTGCTGAAGTCTGTGAAAAACTCACACCTGAGCAATTCATGTGACTTCATTCTCCATCTTTAAGTCGTCTTTAAGCTGCCATCACTATAAAATCCTTTTACATTAAGTATTAAATACGTTTTAGTAGTTCAATACTTTCTTTGTGTGTCATTTTATTTTTACTATACATAACTGATCTTTCAGATTGTTTGTTTTGTTTAGTTTATTTTTATGTTTGTGTTTTTACCAAAATCTGGTTTAAGTCCATGTCAACAGCTCCTTTACAAATATTAAAAACCATGACGTGTTCAATACTTATTCCCGCCACTGTACATACAACATTGATAAAATATTATTCTACTAAATATAAATGTGTGTGTGTGTGTTATTAAAAAAAATAGCAAGTCAACATTTAATAATATTAAGTTAATATTATTAAAACAAACAAAATTTTATATTTTAATAAAACATCATTCAAACATCAAATGTTTAACATTTAATATAGTTAATCATTTAATATAACATTTACATTCATAACATTATTACACAAAATCCATGTATAGACTTTTATATAAATTGCATATGATTATTCTTATTTTTATACATTTTACTGACAACATAAATCAAATTTTTATGAACATCATTACTGAACATAAACTGAACTGTACAAGTAAATACAACTACTTTGTTGAACAAACACTTACAATCTCAAACCAAAAACAACCAGACTCACTTTTTTGTCTCCTTGTTTTCTGCGTCGTAGGCCCGGTCTGTAATCATCTCCAAATCGCAGGAAATAATAGTATGACACCAGACGCTCAATGGGGTCTCGGATAACATTAATGTAAATGGGCTTTTTTTTCACCCCAAATCTGATAAAGAGATGGAAAAGAAACAGTAAAGCTCTGCTTTTCATTTTGATATCACTAATACATTGAAACAGATATTTTTGGAATTTTTGTATAACTAAATAATTACTTTATGCATGCATTTAAACATTATCAGTACATTTCAGATATGTAAGGTATAGGGAGACCCAGTATAGACCATTTCAATGTGGTCATGTTATTGCTCCACCACATGTCCTGCTTGTTATCAAACCATTTCATAACAAGAGGCAATTCAATTATAACTTAATGTTAAACAGCTATCATAACATTATTCATCAATATGTGGATAATCAGAATCTATAGAAATTAAAAATGTAAAACAGGAAATATGTTGGGACCATTGTTTTTGTTTACATCCCTAAAAACAGTGTATAAAACAATGTAACTTTTAGAGGAAGAGGCAATCTGCAGTTCTTCCCACGGCCACCAGGTGTCAGTAGAATCAAATCAATTTTTTTGACACTTGGCTTGTTAGTAATGTAAACATCCTTCAATAGATATGAATTGCAGTGCTTAACACAGGTTTCATGTTACGCTGAATGTTGGAAAACTCCTTCTGGAGTGATGGTGGCATTAAATGCAAAACTGCATTTGTCATGCAAACTCACTGACCAGACCACAACAGATTCTGCACCGGGAACAGCACATGATGATACGTACTTGGTGAAGTCCAGAAAGGAAACATGTCCATGGTAGAAGGCCGGCTTCATCTCCTTCCATAACGTCACATTCTTTACAAACCGTACCTGAAATGCAGGAAACAATAAATTAGAGACAATTTACCCAACAATCTGGATTTTGCCATTATTTACAGTAGTTCAAAACCTATTACAGATTTTTTCTTTTATTGATCACAAAACAAGATATTTTGAAGAATGCTGGTTACAAGCACCCACTGTCATCCATAGTATTTTTTCCCCTACTATGGATGTCAATGTGTGCCAGCAAACAGCATTTTTTAACAAAATCCTCTTTTGTGTTCAACAGGAAAAAAGGTTTAAAACCACACAAGGGAGAGTAAATTAGGAGGTAATTTAAATGCTTGGGTAAACTATCTTAGAGGGATGGCCAAAAAGACAAAAAACAAAACAACAAAAACATATAAAGTTAAAATAAGAATTATTAGCCCCCTTGAATTATTAGCCCTCCTGTTTATTTTTACCCAATTTGTGTTTAGCGGAGAGCAGATTTTTTTTCAACATATTTCTAAACATCATCATTTTTTAATAACTGATTTCTAAGAACTAGGGCCAGACGGAATCTGTGGACATTTTTTGCTATTTCAGCACAGAATTTTGTTAAAAATCTGCGGATTTATGCTGAATTATTTTGGGAGTATCATAACTAAAACCTTAATATTTGAACAAAAAAATAATCCCTTTTAAACTTGTATTTAATGTTTACAATGCAAATCTAATTAGATTCACTTTATTTGGTATACAAACCAAGTCTTCTATATAATATATCTACAAAAAGACAGAAAATAGAATTTTTTAAAACTGTATTGTGAATAAATTATAATAACATTTTCATATTTGTCAATAATATCACTGAAATTAATTTAAAAACTGTATAAATATGAATTTGCACAAGGAAAAAAAAAACAATCAATGATGGGCTAAAAATCTGTGGAAAATCTATGGAATTCTGTGCAAGCAGATTCCGTGTGGGCCTACTAACAACTGATTTATTTTATCTTTGCCATGATGACAGTAAATAATATTTGGCTAGATATTTTAAGACACTTCTATACAGCTTAACATTTAATTTGACATTTAAAGGCTTAACTAGGTTAATTAGGTTAACTAGGCAGGATGGCGTATTTAGGCAAGGTATTGTATAACAGTGGTTTGTTCAGTAGACTATCGAAAAAATATATAGCTTAAAGGGGCTAATAAAACTGACCTTAAAATTATTTTAAAAAGAAATGTTTAAATATTTAAAAAAGAAAAATTAATTTAAAGGGGGGCCCAAGGACTTCAACTGTACATATAAGACAAGGCCTTAATTCGAGGGGCTGTTTATACAATAAGGTTTTCAGAAAAAAAAAATACATTTTTGTCATTAAAAAACAAAAATCTGAAAAGAGGTTTGAAAGAGGAAGTTTCTGAAAACATCATCTTGCTCCCGTAAACACAAGAAAACAAGAACCTTTAAAATAGATGACTTCATGCACAAACATGATATTTTAAGGCAAGTGCAAACAAACATAAACAACAATGGCGGATAATTGCTGTTATTGGAAGTGTAAATTTACCTTCATATTACAAACAACAGCAGACGCATCTTACACACAATGCAAATTCTACACATCCATGTTACTTATGGGATCAGTTTAGTTTCAAAAGAAATTCATGCAAAAGACACGATGTACACATGCGTAGCCAAATTCACGTGCATAAAATCAAATTCACGTGCATAAAATCAAATTCAGGTGCGTAAAATATTTATTTATACTCACAAAAAATTTTCACGTGCTCAAAATAAAAATACATTTTCATAAAATACGTTTCACAAATGCAAAACACCATTTGCAAATGTATAGGAGTGTACAAAAAGTTTTGAATGTTTAAAACTTGCGAGTTTATCCTGAATGAGAATGTGCAAATCCTCTTTCACGTACGACTCGCCCTGGATACGTGTGTGTGTATTTTTGAGACTTTCCTGCCAGAGGCAGGGTAACTCGTACCTTTCAGCCAATCAGATGAGAGCTGTAGTCAATGACACCAACTCTGCGCTTCATTTGCGCAGACTGTTTCTCTCCAGCTTGGCGAACAGAGAAAGCCAGAAGTCGCAGTCACACTTTTTTTCATTTATTTAATTATTTGACCATAGCCTCACTCTTTTTATCCATTATTTTGCAGCAGCTCCGCTCTTCTTATTTATTGTCTCGCAGCCTTACGAGCAGAATGTAGCCTGCAGAATGATGAAATATCATTCCGGTGATGCAAGCACAGCAGTACTATTGTGGTCTAGCGGTCAGCGCGTTGCGTTATCAAGCCGCCAACTCGTGTTCGATCCACACCAGAGATTAATTTTTTTTTTTTTTTTTATTGTTAAGACATATAAAACTGTAAGGTTGTTGAACATTTGAAGTTCTAAAGCAGCTGTTTTCTTTAAAAAGACTTGATAGTGTAATTAGAAACTGAATTGGAAATTACCTTATTTTAATATAGTCAGTCGTGAACTGAGGTGGGCCGATCCAAGGCTTGAAACTCCAGGGCTGAAAAGGTGTCCCACTCCGGCCCTGATTATATCCAATGAATGTAAACAAGCTGCTGTTGTGCTTTAGTAATATATTATGTAGAATATACCCAAGTCTTTTTAAAGAAAACAGTTGCTTTAGAACTTCAAATGTTCAACAACCTTACAGTTTTATATGTCTTAACAATAAAAATGAAAAAAAAAAAAAGTTAATCTCTAGTGAGGATCGAAAACGGGTTGGCGGCTTGATAACGCAACGCGCTGACCGCTAGACCACAATGGTTTCACCACCGGAATGATATTTCATCATTCTGCAGGCTACATTCTGCTCGTAAGGCTGTGAGACAATAAATAAGAAGAGTGGAACAATAAGGAACAAAAAGAACAATAAGGATAAAAAGAGTGAGGCTATGGTCAAATAATTAAATAAATGAAAAAAAGTGCGACTGCGACTGCTGCTTTCTCCGTTCGCCATGCTGGAGAGAAACAGTCTGCGCAAATGAAGCACAGAGTTGGTGTCATTGACTACAGCTCTCATCTGATTGGCTGAAAGGTACGAGTTACCCTGCCTCTGGCAGGAAAGTCTCAAAAATACTCACACGCGTATCCAGGGCGAGTCGTACGTGAAAGAGGATTTGCACATTCTCATTCAGGATAAACTCGCAAGTTTTAAACATTCAAAACTTTTTGTACACTCCTATACATTTGCAAATGGTGTTTTGCATTTGTGAAACGTATTTTATGAAAATGTATTTTTATTTTGAGCTCGTGAAAATTTTTTGTGAATATAAATAAATATTTTACGCCCCTGAATTTAATTTTATGCACGTGAATTTGGCTACGCATGTGTACATCTTGTCTTTTGCATGAATTTCTTTTGAGACTAAACTGATTCCATAGTTACTTCCCTATAGGTACTCTTTACTCACAAGGTTGACAGAGGCAAATACTGGCCTGGCATGTGTAATACAGTGTTTTAGGCTGTATTGTTCAGAATTGTTATGAAACGCTGTGTAAACGTGAAAAGCATTTCCATTGTTGCCTACATTGCTGTCCTGTATAGTATCATAAAATCTAGATAATCCTAACTATAATTAGAAAACACAGACATAGCATGTCATTACAATACTACTACATGGTTTTAATGATAATGTCTTCAGGCTTGTGTTCTCATACTAATAGGTATAAATACAAAATCAAAAAAGCTATAGATTAACCCTTGTGTGTTGTTGATGTTTTCATCCACTCTGGTGTTATTTTGAGTCTTAATTTGGTCACAACTTTCTCTGTTTCAGCAGATGGAATGATTTTTGTTGACAAATCTTATTGACACATATTGTGAGAAAATGCTTTGAAAAAAAAAATCAACAATACACTTTCAAAATTTTATATACTTTCATTATTTTGGCGGCTGTTTTTTCCCATTGACTTCCATTATAATGACATTTTTTGATTGCAAACCCATGACACCATATTAGCATGCATTTTTGATTGTTGCCAGTTTTCTCTGTTGGAAAGAGGTAAAATTTGTCATTTTAAATGTTCATCATAAGTCGCAGTGCAAAAAAAAGCTTAGTTTTCATCTTCCTTATGGAGTAAAGTTAGTGTATCTATGTGTGAAAGACACTGCACGATATTGAAAAAAACTGACAAAAACAACTTTTTCTGTGATACATATTGCGATACTGAGCAAAATTTCACCAGATGAAATGAATGGCTCTATTTGGAAAGAATTTGTAATTTTAGTATGATTGGGATAATTTTGTAGTGCATTCTTTATAAAATATAATAAACCAGTCACAAACATTGACAAAAGCAGATACAATCACACTAAACAGTGCTTTTATAGTTTGCTGGGAGTATTCAGGAACATAAATTGAATGTTCAAATGTAAAATAACACTTCATAAACTCCGATAATCTTTTTTTTAGTTTTAAACATTATAAATTGCTGTGCTCGATTGCTTTAAACTGGCTTTGAATGCTTACACTCTCACAGACCTATCTCCATGGCATCAATTTATGCAAATTATACCATTTTTGGTAAATATGAGAGTTCCTGCAAAGTGTAACAATAAATCACGTTTTTTCAACTCAGGCTCTTGTGATTATAGTCCTGAATCTACATTTCAGATCCTGCAATGCGTCTACTGCAAATGCTTACATTGCGATATCGATGCTGAAACGATATATTGTGCAGCCCTAGGAGAGATCTTTGCGCACTTATCTTGATTTGTCTGAGAATATTATCCTCTTAAGGCCCAAGGTGTTTTTACATGCATTTTTTATTTCTCTTTGCTATTTGGGCTTATTGAAACCTAATTAGAATAAAACCTAAGTATCATCTTTTGATATGATGTACTTTTAGAGAAAAATGATGTCCATATATGTGGACTCGTGGTCCGAATCTGCATAAAAACACTTTTTCCTGACTGTTTTTTTTAATGCATATATAAAAAATACATTTTTTTGAACATGTAAATATTTTTCCACATTTTAGAGAGTTAAATATAGTGTTTGGGACATTTTTTTATATGCTGCAAAACAGTTGCAGGATGACACTGTATGTCTGTAACAAAATATAAAACAACCAAAGTATTTTAAATAGCCACTTAAGAGTTAAATTAGCTGTCCACGTATGTGGCCGTTAAGCCCTAGGAGGTTAAAATAAGCAGCTCAGCTCGCAGATCATAGTAAACAAAGTAAGTGTATTTATGGACACACACGCACACGCGCACACACACACACACACACACACACACACACACACACACACACACACACACACACACACACACACACACACACACACACACACACACACACACACACACACACACACACACACACACACACATTAATCTGCTATTTTACTCCTTAGAACTTCATATAAAAGCTAGAAATGTTTTTGCATAGGACTATCTAAAGGGTTAATAGTGCCATCTGAAAACATTACACATTTTACCTCTTCCCAACAGGTAAAATTAGCAACAATCAAGAATGCATGATAATATGTCGTCATGGCTTTGCAAATAAAAAAATGTCATTACAATGGAAGTCAATGGGGCAAAGACAGCCACCAACATAACAAAAGAGTTATTCAACAGTACACAAGGGTTAAAAACAACAATTACATTATATTATTCCTATAAAACATTTAATATATGTTGAAATTAATAATTACATCATAAAATGGTATGTATATTTCCCAATCTGTGGTTACTGGTACAGCAGTAAAACCATCTGCTAATGACTTCTAACTGAATTGTTTGCAATACAGTGTTTCTCAGTGGCTTTGAGAACTTTAGTACTGTTTCATCAGGCTGTAAACTAAATCACAAAGACACTAGTGTTCTTTCCTTTATTCAAGTGCTTCTCTTTAAAGCTGCTGTTGTGATCAAGATAACTAACTGCATGTAAACAAACTTGAACTTGCGGAGGGATTCACGTGAACAGATAAACAGTCTGTGTGCTGTATAAGATAAACGTCCTCGGAATTCGCTTTTTCAGCATAAAAATTAAATGGAATATTTATCAAACATGTATGAAATTATATTGTGATAATTATCATTGCTTTATTACCCAGCCTAGCATAGCATCTGCTGTACTGCACAAGCTTTGTGTCATTTAGAGGCTGTATATGGAAACATTTGTATTCTTCCAGCATTGTAATCTGTTGTTTTGGACGGGTTTTCGGAAAACTGACCTGATCCTGAAGCGACATGACGGGATTGTTTTTGCTGGTGTTGATGTGCAGCACATGGTAGTGATTTTTGTTGCACAGGTCGTAGGCGATGTTGGTGAAGGAGGTGCTGGCTGTTTTGGGCACTCTGTTGTAGATGACCACCGTGTCGTCCTCCTCAAGCTGCACCTCCTTAACCCCCACTTGACTGTGCCGTCGCTCGATCTCTCGCACCTCATGCCTGGCAATGGCTTGTTCTATAATAAAAACATGAGAAGTTCATATCTAACATGTTGAGGAGAAATTTCTGCATCAGCAGTTTTAATATTTTTGCATGAAACCAACTGCTAATTAATCTGGCATATATCAGAGTTATATGGGCATATACCGTACATACAGTATTTGGAATATTAAAAATGTCAAATAATAATAGATGAATAATTCTCTCCTGAAGGACATTATTTGAATTTATTATACAGTGCATCCGGAAAGTATTCGTCACTTTACTTTTTCCACACTTCTTTTATATTACAGCCTTACTCCAAAACTATTTAAAATTAATTTATTTCCTCAAAATTCTACACACAATACCCCATAATGATGATATGAAAAAAGATTTTTTTAAATTGTTGCAAATTTATTAAAAATAAAAAAGCTGGAAAAAAATAACGGGCAGAAGTATTCATAAAGCCTTTGCTCAATACTTTGTTGATAAACCTTTGGCAGCAATTACAGCTTCAAGTCTTTTTGAATATGATGCCACAAGCTTGGCACACCTGTCTTTGGGAATTTTTGCCCATTCCTCTTTGCAGTACCTCTCAAGCTCTATCAGCTTGGATGGGAAGTGATGGTGTACAGCCATTTTCGGATCTCTCCAGAAATGTTCAATATGATTTGGGTCTGGGCTCTGGCTGGGCCACTCAAGGACATTCACTGAGCTGTTGTGAAGACACACTGTTGATATTTTAGCGGTGTGCTTTGGGTCATTGTCCTGCTGGAAGATGAACGACTGTGCTCATTGGAACTCACTGGAGCAGCAGAAATGTTTCTGTAACCTTCCCCAGCCTTGAGGAAGACAATCCTGTCTCTGTAGTCTACAGACAATTGCTTTGTCTTCATGCTTGGTTTGTACTTTGACATGCACTGTCAACCCTAGGACCTATTATAGACAGGTGTATGCCTTTTCAAATGATGTCCAATCAACTAAATTTACCACAGGTAAACTCCAATTAAGCTGCTGAAACATCTCAAGAATGATCAGTGGAAACAGTATGTAGCATAGGAATCCTTATGTACAAGTGATTTTACAGTTTTTTTTATTTGTATTAAACTTGCAACAATTTAAAAACATATTTTTGGGGTAATGCGAGTCGAGTTGAGGAAATAAATGAATTTAATCTATTGAGGAGTAAGGCTGTAACATAAAAAAATGTGGAAAAAGTGAAGCACTATGAATACTTTCCGCATGCACTGTATTTCTGTGATATACACTGTTGACACATAATGAGCTTATGAATAACAATGAAATGCACTGGAGAAAAATAAATCAGCAAAAAAGCACACTTTCAGTTATTAATGACTCTTTAAAAAATTCCAATATGTCATGATCCTTGTGATCATAAAAAGGTAACATGTAAATATAGTACTGCATTAAATCGAGGCCAAGAGAAAATGATGATGTCCGAATACGTTTTGTACAACTTTTAAATCAACATATGTTTTATACGGTACGCATTTATTAGTGGATGCTTTCATCAATGTATTTCCTATTGTGCTGTATTAGACCTTACTCTGTCATAGGAGCTAATTTATTTCCTCCAAATTGCGCTCCTATAACAAAACCTTGCCGAAAAGCAGCTATTTTCACCAATAGTTCTATGAACTGTGATAACGCTTCTCCTGTCACTGCCACACTATGTAAAGTATTATAAATTTACTTTAGTTGAACATTTGGTATCAGAAGTGGCTTATATAAAAAGGCAAAGGCCTCTAGATTACGTTTAATAACAAAATAAAATATGATCATGCCTTGATTTTTTTATGATTTAATTAGGACAGTAAGGTGTTGGAATACCTAGCCAATTCCATGCGTGTTCAATAAGAAAAGGTCTGGAGAGGGTTTTCTTCAATGCCAAAAATATTAGTAATTTATTAGATACAAATGAATAATTCGATGACAGAGCTCTGGGTTACATTACCCCAATGCAATACAAGAATTACATTCAGGAGGTTCGCAACTAACATACATTTCCTGACTCCGGCGTATATACACAACTGATCTTAACAGGTGGAGTTTTGGTGTAACGTCACTTGTCAGTCCTGCATTGGCCACACCTTCGACATACTTCCTCTTTTTCTACGAATTCTCTGCACAACAAAAAAGCATACAACTTTCTGTGTTCTGTGTTCAGTTTTAACACCTCTCTTCAGACAGGACGTTTCTGCAAAGCTGAGTTTAATTTTGGACCCGCATCTATCTACTTCAGCAAAAATGCTAATTAGTATGCACAGCACTCACACACAACATTAGAAGTTCAGTTAATATATGACCCTTACATGACCAATACTAATAATTGTTTGATTAAAAGAAAAAGAGACCAAAAATTATAAAAAATGATTACTATTTTACAACAAAGGTCTGCCTTTGCTAAGAAAAAAGTCTTGCCACTTAAAAGAAATAATGTACAGTATAGAATATAAAGTCATGATGCAGTGGAAAAAGAATGAATATTGTGTATGACTCCCATGAGCTTGGAGGACAGCATCCATACATCTCTTCAATGACTCAAATAACTTATTAACAAAGTCATCTGGAATGTCAAAGAAAGCATTCTTGCAGGACTCCCAAAGTTCACCTTCATATTACCCTAGACATGCTTAATAATGTTTATGTCTGGTGACTGTGCTGGCCAATCCTGGACCTCCTAGACCTTCTTTGCTTTCAGAAACTTTGATGTGAAAGCTAAAGTATGAGGAGCGCTATCCTGCTGAAAAATTTACCCTCTCCTTTGGTTTGTAATGTAATGGGCAGCAAAAATGTCTTGATACTTCAGGCTGTTGATGTGGTCATCCACTCTGCAGATCTCTCGCACACCCCCATACTGAATGTAACCCCAAACCATGATTTTCCTTCATTAAACTTGATTAATTTCTCTGAGAATTCTACGGGTTCCAATAAGTCTTCTGCAGTATTTGTGATGATTGAAAGTTTTTTTTTTTCCAATGGGAACCAGAAAAATCATGTTAATTAGCATCAACTTGAGAATTAGTAAATAATGACACAATTGTCCATTTTTTGGTTGAAATGTACTTTTACCGTCATTTCAAATTAGAGTAATGCTTTTTTATTCATTATTTTAAACAAATTCATGTAGAAAAATGGCTCTAGAACTGATTACAGGAAATGTTTGGGGTCTGATAATCCTTGTGAGATTTTGAGATGGAAATGTGTCAGTGCAGATGATGTGGTGACAGTGTGTGTGTGTGTGTGTGTGTGTGTGTGTCTGAGAGAGAGAGCAGGGGTCCAGCAGCTGCTGCTGTGAGGTGATGATGTCAAGCCAAACACATCACATTCCCACTTAAGCCTGATTTATACTTCTGCGTCAAACACCGGCGTATGCTACGGCGCTGACGCATAGCCCTTCGCCGTGGCCATCGCCGTCACTGACGTGCACCTCTCAAAAAATGTAACTACACGTCGCAACGACGCGTAGCATAAGCTCTGTGATTGGTCGGCTTGGTAGCGCTGACGAGTCTGGGCGGGACCGAGAGGCGCGCGAATGGCGCGACGCCGCGCGAGCGATTGTTTACAAGTGTGGAGTCCCGTGAAGGAGCTCCGGATGGAAAGTTTTGTTTTGTGTTTACCTCATAGTTAAAGTTGTTTCACGTCCGCCGGTTCCTGCCTCAAAATGAGCGAGTTTGAGCCACTTGTACATCCCGGAAGTGTTCAGGAAATGCAAAAAAGTAGCGAAGAAACTTGACACAGAGGAACATTTACACCTCACTGCCAACTAGCGTTTCGGAAGTGTTAATGCAGACCGGCAGAGACAGCGCGCAGAAGTATAAATGCACAGCCACGCGCGTTGCCTGCGCCGTGGGTTACGCCGGTCACCTGACGCAGAAGTATAAATCAGGCTTTACAGAGACCAGTCTCCAGCCAGCACACACACGCTAACAACTGCTTCTGCCATCGACAACTGCTGCCATGTCACATTATGACACCAGACAACAGAGGGAAAAAAACTTTTAGAATCCATCTAAAGAAAAATACCACTACTGTAAAATAAACCAAATAAAAAGCACCTCTAATTAATCCTTTAACATGAGCAAAATGTCACTTTAACATAATTGTAGCCTTTTCATTTTTAATGAGCGGTAATGGAAAATGTTTGACTGAGGGGAAAAGCCGAGTTAGAGTTCAAGCATTTGTGTGCGCTGTAGGCAGATTCACCATTTCATTACTGCTGCAATATCCAGCCGAATGTAATCATATAATTGCAGTTTAATGAGAAAAACACCCTGAATCATGACTTGTTTTCTACTTGAAGGACACACAAGTGCTGCATTATGCTGAATGAAAGCGCTCCTTTAAAAGCAGGCAGGCGTGCGGCTAGAGGCTCTCGAGGTGACTGTGTGAAAGCAGTGTCATGGACAATTGCTGAGATTCACATCTGCTGGCCTTTACACAATGTGCTCTTTGACAAGAGCCGCTTCTGATGTACGATGACTTCAAATATGTCACCCTTTTTTTGTAGCCTGAAAAGATTTCTGAAACCAATTTTTGTAGTGGGTTTTTCAGTATATGGCCTATCATTAATCAAATGATAAAGTTATAGTTTAACAGTAAGTGCTTAAACAGCACAAAAGTCCAGAATGTTCTCCAAACATCTAATGTATATAGTACTGCAGTTAATATAATATATAAAGTCAAACCAAAAAATTGATCTCACACCAGATTTAACTTAAATACAAATATATAAAATAGGCTGCGGGTGCTGGACAATAGATCATTCATGGAAGTTTATTCATTTTCTTTTCGGCTTATTATTCTGGGGTCGCCACACTATCCAGCATATGTCGTACGCAGCGGATGCCCTTCCAGCTGCAACCCATCACTCGAAACACCCATCCACACTCATTCACACACATACACAATTCACCTGTACTGCATTTCTTTAGACTGTGTGGGAAAACGGAGCACCCAAAGGAAACCCACATGCACATGGGGAGAACGTGCAAACTGCACACAGAAATGCCA